GGAAGGGTTCCATGATCAAAGGATATAGTAGGCTTCAGGGATGCATCACACTGTCATCATGTGAAGCTGAAATCATTGCAGTTTGTCAACTTGCACAAGAGTGTTTGGGGGTTCGCCATGTGACTGAATTCCTGGAGAGTTTCGGAGACCGCAATATGCTGTTGAAGCTTTCAACCAAAGAGTTTCAGGAATTGAAGTTCGATGAGATATCAAATCTTGGCGACCACTACCCCATTGTGATTTTCACCGATTCGCAAGCATGTATAGGAGCTTTGAACAACCAAGGGTTGAGCCGAAGGGTACGTCACATGTCAATTGCTGTTTGTTACATTCAAGCATTGAAAGATTGTGGCAACCTCACCATCGAATGGCTTCCAGGTAGCAAATGCACAGCCGATCTGTTGACGAAAGTGCTACCAGTTGAAGTGAACAATTTCCGTCGAAGTCAGATTGGAATTTTGGAAATCGTAGGCCAAGAAGAATGGCAGTTGGTAATCAACAAAGAGCTCAAGAAGAAAGGAAAGAAGTCTGACGTACAGACTGCGGATGTCCAGGATGAAATCCCAAGCACGGAGGACCTTGCATCTTTTTCGGCAAAGAAAGGTTTGTCGGTTGAAGGTCTTGAGAGTTTTGAGAATCTGCTCCAACGCGTTGGCATCGAAGTCCAAGCTGGAAAAGTGACGCATGTGATCGTAGAGCTGTGCACCAGTTCAAATGCCGGTCTATCCCAGGGAATCGCTTCCACCAGGTCGAGTTCTTGTGCTGTCATTCCCATCACCAAGAAGATTGATTTGCACTGTGTTTCGAAGGTTTTGGTATCATGGATTGTTTGTTTGAAGGAACTTCAGCCTGGAGTTGTGTTCTTGGGATGGGCATCCCCTCCATGCACAGGAGGATCACCGGTTTTGCATTTGATCCAGCAGCCACGTCGAGGGGAGATTCAATCTGAGCATCTGAAAGAGTTTGAGGACCTCATGATCCAAATCCATCAGGTTTTGACCGTTTGTCAAATCAGAGTCCTCGAGATGTCCCAACGATGCTCATATTGGAAAGATGAATCGGTTCAGTCGTTCTGCCGAGTTCATGAGATGAGGTTCATCCAAGACATCGCACGATGCGCATATGTGAATGAGAAGGTACCAGCACTGCACCAATATCGTTTGGTCAGCAGCCGATCGTTGTTCATGCCTAAGGAGTGCAATTGTAAGAACCACATGTCGTTGAACGATCAGCACCTGGGATCACTTGGGGAATATCCCAAGAAGTTGGCCCTCGCAGTCGTGAAGTGGTTTGTGACCCAGCACCAGTAGGCAGGAGTGAGAATAGATGTAATTAAATCTCGAGATGAATTCAAGCACATGCGATACAAAGGTCGCTCAGAGTCCGCAAATGTGGAAGTAATTTACCGGTACATGCATGATGTTTCAACTGTGTTTAAATGTCATAGCTTCAAAGAACAGAATCTTGACTTGATAGAATGTTGCCCGACAAAAGGATTCGACTTCAGCTAAAATGTTCAGGATTCCACACTTTCCCTAAGGGAATCATCTTTTTCGAATTCTTGCACCTCCTTAGATCTTTGCAATGGCATCAAAAACTCCGAGGGTTGTCATCACGATCGACTCTGACAGCCCGACCGAAGTGGTTGTCAAAGTCGGTTCAAGCAGCACTTCGGCTGGTGGAATCGAGATCAAAGAGGAGAGCAAGGTTGCAAGCAATTCAGGTATCAAGGGCTCGCCATACCCTCATAGTGGATCCTCAAAGGACAAAAGGGGAGGCCATTCAATGCCCCATGGTGAGATGCCGTGTTCATCCGGAAAGCCCAGTGCTGGCGATAACGATTGGGATAAGGTATCCATGATCGTTGATCAGGATGAAGGCCCTCACCAACCTGATCATCCACCTCCAGGTTGGTCATCTCCTCGTCCGCCGACAGATTCGCCTCCAAGCCCGAAGAGTCCATTGGAACCTCCGCCATGGAAGGTTGCATCCGCCTCAGAAGCTGCAACAGATCCATCATCGACCACCCCGGAACAGTTGATTCCTGCTGGTGAGAGTTTGTGTATGACCCGCAAAGCTGGCCGTGTATACCACAAGAGAAGCTGCGGGATCCTGAAGCACAAAAAGGATGATGAGCTGGTCACGGATTTGGCCTTTTGTGAGGTCTGTGCAGTTGGAATGCCCCTAGTGCAGACCCAGCGGTTCACAATCTCGGCAACCGATGTTCCTAGGAAGCTGCATTTTGTTTGGCCTGATGGGTCGACTCAATGCCGGGTTGGTGGAGTGCAGGTGACTGGATGTTACCAATGCATCTGGCGGTAGAGATCCTAAGGGTCCAGAGGCAAGAACTTGAAGAGATAACATATTCCATAAATAGATACATAGCTTAAGGCTTGATAGTACTGCACTTGTTCGCTGCAGCAATTTCTTCGAACCTTGTCCGTTGAGCTTGAAAAGGAATGCCTCCAGATCCACGAGAGATCATGTGCCTAGGACGCCTGGAAAGCCGTGAAGGCCATGTTGCATGATTTGTAAAGAAAGTTTTGCAAAGTGTGTTGAAATCAACTTGCTACACAACCTGTTTGCTTAGCATAAAAGTGCATAAGGATCCGGACCTTAAAAGTACTTAGATAAGCTTGGCTGATGGTTCGTCGCGGGCCCAGGAATCCCATGTGGCCTATATATGGGATAGTATGAACCAAGTGATCAGCACTGCTCTCGTATATGGTTGTGGGGGGGTGTGAAATATAGGCACCCTATGCAATCGTTCGAGCAACCACATATCGTTTCGTTCGATCACTTGGAAAGTTCGGTCGCGGTTGCACACACCGCTTTTGACCATGGTGCGCTACGGCGCACAAATCGAGAAGTGTACCACAAGGTACTTGCTGCCACGAACCGTGGCTCAAGGGCGACGCAGAAAGGAGTTGCTTCGCTTGGGAACGGCGGCCCGCGTGTCGACTAATCGCAGTCGAGCACAAATCGAGAAGTGTACTTCATTTGTTCTCTTTTCTCTGTGTTCGCTTTGCAGTTGAGGTTGAACTCTAAAAGGTGTGAGTTCTCATAGGTGGTGGTGGTGGTGGCTGTGGTGCCTGGTGCGCGCACGACATGGTATAAACCACAAAGGGGCTGCAACAGACATCAACAGATCCTGTTGGACATTTCTTGGGGGCTCCTCGGAATCAGTGGACGTTTCACTTCTTTCTTGTCCAACCGACGATTCCCTCCACGAAGGCCCAGCTCGCCTCTGCCTCCCCGGTCTCCTCCGATCCAGGCGCCTCTGGTGTCAGTGACTCCGAGATCACGGGCAGCGAGGCGTGGGCAGATCATTACTGGTGCAGTGCGGTTGGCAGGTCGTAGAGAGGGGAACCCCGCTCCCACATTGAATCATTGGGGTTGATTGGAGACTGTTGGTTAATAACCGCACTCACCCAATTTGTATTGTAAAAGCTCTCGGCTTTTGGGGTTCATGATAATCAACTGTCTACAGTTACTACCACGGGAGTGGTTGGTCAATGGACACCTTGAATTTAGCTCTATATAAGGGCTAAAAGTTAGGGGGTCTCTAATAATTAATTGAAAAACGGTAGTGGACGGACAATCTGGTGTCGGCTTCTTCTCGCTTTCTCCGCTGTTCAAAAGGACGAAGGCTCGCGGTCGCTGTTGAGGGCGGATTTCATGGACCATCGCAGTGGGATCTTCCCACCTCTCCCGCAGAATTGGGAAAGGAACCCTGAAACTCGGTTGGGCCTCCATTTCAAAGGTGGTTGGGGTGGGTGCCAGGCCAGGAGGATCTGTGCCCACCTGAGGATATGGGCCAGGAGGCCTATAGTCACCGGATCGATCGGATCGGCGGATTTTCCACACGCGGGTTTTGCCGGCTCAACGACTGGTGACTGATGGTTAGGTGCTGGGGGTGCAATTGGTACAACCTGGGCATTGAAACTGGGTCCCCAGCTTCTGGGGCTGTTGGTTTGCAAGAAGGGGTCGAAAAGGATGTTGGACGGGATGTGGGGGTTCCCCAAACTTAGGACCTGGGTGCGTGAACTTCGTGCTTCCAATAAAACCGCTGCCTGGTGCTCGGGGGCCGCTCCCCAAACCACCGATATTTGGTTGGATGGATCCAGATTGATCATGATTGATCCAGATGAATCTCCATTTCACCGGGAGCTCGTAACCAGGACGCGCGCGAAGCAGACCTATAGGGTTTCAGGCCTAGTTCATAGGTGGGAAGTCCTTCCAGCAGGAGTTCCATGATTCCCTGATAAAACGAACAGATCAGCCCACTGACAGCCTTCGCACAACTCGTTCTTTTGGTCACCCACGTCTGAACTTGCGACCGATGAGTCCTCTTTCCTCACCTTCTGAGTCCTCGTCCTCGCACCGTCCCCGCACCTCTCGCCAGGTCATCTCCGATGCCGGGGAAACCCTGAGCACCTGGTCGGAGCGCTCGCACCACGTCGCTCGCAGATGGCCCGGTCTCGGCGGGTCGCTGGGGTTCGGAGGGCGGGAGCGCCGGAAGATGCGGAAGATGCGGAGTACGGTGGGCGGCCCGAGAAAAGGGAAGACACTGGGAGCCCTGGGTGGGGGGGCTTTGAAGGAGGGTATGGATCAAGGATTTTTTGAGGATCTCAAGGGAGGTGCACGGTTTTGTGGAACAGGGTGGGTTGGAAGCCTTCGAACTCAACCGGGGGAGTGCTAGTTCGATTGTGGGATAAGTTGATTCGCTTCGTGCTTGCGAAAACCATTCCTGACACCTGACGTGAAATCAACCAATATCAAGCTTGAGATGATGAGGGCATCCTACAGCCCCATTGACAAGGAACCAAGTGGCGCTATGCAGGAGCGGAAGAACCCTGCAGCTGAATGGATTCCACACTCTTTGGGATCAATGATTTCAGAAGGTTGTCTTTTTGCCTTTGGACGCCTTGCTTTGTTCTTTTTGATGCTCGGATGCCAGACGTTTCGGCTCCTGCAAGCGATCGTACAACTGGCGACTCATGGACTCGCTGGAGGTCGCGCTGGAAGAGGGAAGGAAGAAGGTCCTCTACCACGAACTGCGACCAGGCCTTGAGGCACTGGAGGTCATGCCAGAAGTACGGGAGCGATACTTGAAGGAGTGCCTGGTTGACCTTGAAGAAGTGTTTTCAGGAAGCTATTTTTGTTTGGTTGACCAGTGCATTCCTTGGGGCATCAAGCGGTTCTCAATTTGTCTCCCTTTGGAGGCCAAGTCAGTATCAAACAAGTTAATGGGGAACTCCATTTTCGGTCCCAAATCCTCCATTGACCATTCTTTGAGTAAGTCTTTGACTCCAACATGGCTAAGCTTGTATGCTTTTGACAGCAAAAACAAAGACACTACCCAACCAACCAGACAATTGATGACAATTGCTTGTTCTTGTTGTTCTACGCGAACTGACTCTGCGGGCACAAACGGCCGCAACGCTGCCACCGGGCCGCTTGGCGCTCTCAGGTGCAAAGGCACCGACCTGTCCCTTGCGGCGCTGCGAGGGGACGAGGAACTGGTGGAAGCGTTGCTGAGCTCCGGCGCGGTGGATACGGCCAACTTCTTGGGCGTGACAGCTGCTTGGGATGAGCTGAACCAGCACAAACAGGAAAGGCTGCGTTTATAGACCCCCTATGACATCCGTTCCAATATCGCTTTCCGTGGTGCTTGAAAAACATGATGTTGTTCGGAATATTTTTCTGAGTTAAATGTATCCTTTTGCGAAGGGCATCTTTCGAAATTGCGGGACATGCATTGGATGATGTGCGAACCTATACCAACGCCTGGTTATGAAACGATTCTTCATTTTCCGGAAGGCTTCCAACATTGTTTTTTTCACTGAGCCATTTTGGCTTCCACCCAGGGCAAATCCCTTTGTATAGGGCATATACAGAGTTTTGGGGTTCATGGCCTTTGTCAGTCTTTCTTTGGCACTCCAACTCTAACCTGGAAGTGGACCCTCCCCTTTTTGTAAAGGAACACATCCTCCTCCCAAGACCCGTCTTGTCCATGTCTTGGTGGCAACAAACATCAACTCGGTCCATCCCCCCAAAGACGTCTCTTCTCTGAAAAATGACCGACGCCTTGGCAGCCATCTTTCTGGGATACCACCGTGGTCCTTTCTTCATGGGATTCTTGTTCCATCGTGGGTTGTACGGTGGACTGGTCCGAATCTGCATTCGATCACACCCAAGGTTTGGTTGCACCACTTCACCTTTTAGAGCTTGCAATGCTTCTTCTGGGTTGTGCTGCAGGGTGATTTTCCTTTTCCTTCTCCTTCTCCTTTTCCTCTCTTTCCTTTTCCCGGCTTTTCGTGTTCTTTTCCTGTCCTCTTCCTGTCCTTTTCGTGACCTTTTCCTGTCCGCTTCCTGTCCTTTTCATGTTCTTTTCCTGTCCCCTGTCCTTTTTGTGTCCTTTTCCTGTCCTCTTCCTGTCCTTTTCGCGTTCTTTTCCTTTCCTCTTCTTGTCCTTTTTTCCGGTTTTTCGTGTCTTTTTCCTGTCCTTTTCGTATCCTCTTCCTGTCCTGTCCTTTTCCTGTCCTTTTCCTATCCTTTTCCTGCACCTGGCAAGGCAAAAAAAGAAAAGGCGGCAGCGGAAAGGTGAGGTGTGCAACAGCTTTTAGGGACGTCCTCCGAACAGTCAACCATCATGGCAAAATCATGTATAGCTCAACCCTGCCGGCAACTAAAACAGTTAGTGAAACAAAATAAATAACCCCGTGAGGCCTCTTTGTTGAGCTGGCAGGGTGTGGACGGATTCCTGCGGCGCACGCGGGTGTGCATTGAGAGTTGCCACCCATACTAACGCCACGATGGACGCGTTTGAGGGCAGTAGCGTCACTTGAGAACCGCCAACGTCAGTTCTCAAAGATGGGTTTCCCTTGCCTCTTCGCCCGTTCCATCGGTAAAACCGATATGCTAACATGGAAGTCTCGGTCATGATCTTTTTCTCCAGGAGCCCTTCGAATTTGCAAGTGCCAATCCCAAAAGCCCACCGAGAGACCGAGAAACAGAGCTGTTGCTTGTAAGAAACTAGCTTCCAAAGTGGGATGCCACGACGTTCCATCCTGAAAATTAGGACGTCTTGAAAATCAAGACATGTAAGTGATGCTGTGGAAGGTGAGCTTCGTGTTCTTCTGGTCTACCCTTCGTGTTGGTTGACCGACCGCTGTTGCAGGTCACCAGGGCGAGCAACAATACCAAAGAACCATTGCTGTTGATAACCGTCTTGAAAGGGGTTAGGACGCACAGCCTGTACAGGTTTCGCCGGGTCTGCCGCAAAATGCTTCCCCACATGACCCCCAACTAGAACAGAACATGAAACACTAGCTAGGACAGGCAGGCTCGGCTCATAACATTTCTTCTTCCTAGGAGCCATTGATCAAGTAAACCCTTGGGTGAACGACTCGCTCTTTTCCTTTTCTGTTCATTGTCCTTTTTCCGTTATCTTTTCATTGCCCCTTTGCTTTGCCTGTTCTTTTTCTTTTTTGCATTGTCATTTGTTGCACTGCCGGTTGCCTTTTCTGCCTGTTGCCAGTTGCCTCTTATGCGTTGCCGTTTCTGCCTGTTGCCGGTTGCCTTTTCTGCCTGTTGCTGGCTGCCTTTTCAGCCTGTTGCTGGTTGCCTTTTTCTGCCTGTTGCCGGTTGCCTTTTCTGTCTGTTGCCAGTTGCCTTTTCTGCCTGTTGCTGGTTGCCTTTTCTGCCTGTTGCCGGTGGCCTTTTTCTGCCTGTTGCCGGTTGCCCGTGACCCCGCCGCCTAAGGTATTGCATTTCCTTCCTTCATGGCAACGGGCATTGCGATGCTGACGCCGCCTCGCACGCAAGATGCAATGGCTTTTCTTTTTTCGTTTTCCTGTTCATTATTATTTTATTCCATTGTCCATTTCCCTTTTTTCTGGAAGCGTAGGTAGTCCTCGTAGTCCTCGCTCGCAAGACTATTCCGCTCAGACATGAAGATTTTATGTTTTATGAAGGGTGCAACCTGAGGTCTTGGGCGACGGGCCGGCGGCCCGGTCAACCAGAGAATAACTCCTTTGGATCCTTCTGGGGCGTGACTTGTCTTCAGCCCTGATTTTTGCCAATTGATTAGACATGAACCTTTATGAAGAGTTCAACCTGAGGTCTTGGATGACGGGCCGGTCATCCACGAAATTGTCCTTTGGATCCTTCTGCGGGGTGACTTGTCTGAAGATTTGTTTTTCCCCAACAGCGGAAGCTTGGGGTCTCAGCCAAACTAGGCACTGGGGCACTGTGGGGCAGTCATCCGGTGAGGTTCCCTGAGGTTCCGAGGTATTGAATGAAGGTTCCGAGGTTCCAAGTAAAGGTTCCCAGTCAAGGTTCCGAAGGTTCCGAGGTTCCAAGCGAAGGTTCCGTGTCAAGTGTCCAAAAGAGTTCCAAGTAAAGGTTCCAAGTGAAGGTTCCGAGTGAAGGTTCCGAAGGTTCCAAGTGAGGGTTCCGAG